TTGAAACCAAGAGCAAACACAACAAAAGCCAAAATAAAAAAGCGAGCCTATATCAAACTAAAAAGCTTCTGCGTGGCAAAAGAAACCACCAACAAAATGAAAAGGCAACTTCTGGAATGGGCTAAAATATTGCAATGCACAAATCCAATAAAAGGTTAATACACAAAATATATTAAGAAATTCATACAACTCAATAGCAAAAAACCCAAATAACCCAACTAAAAAATGGGCAAAGGACCTGAACAGATATTTTCCAAAGAAGACAAAGGGCCAACAGGGACATGAAAAGGTGCTCAGTATCACTAATCATCAGGGAAATGCAAATCACAACCACAATGAGATAGCACCTCACACCTGTCCGAATGGCAATCATCATAAAGACAAGAGAACAAAGGCTATAGCAGGTGGTGGAGAAAAGGGAATCATTGTGTACTGTCAGTGAAAATGTAAACTAGTAAAGTTACTAGGGGAAATAGTAGGGAGGTTTCTCCAGAAATTAAAAATAGAACTACCATCTATCAGCAATCCCACTTACAACCAAAGGAAACAAAATCATTATCTCAAGAGACATCTGTACTCCCATGTTCACTGTAGTATTATTCATAATAGCCAAGGTATGGACACTATTTACATGTCTGTAGATGGATGAAAGGAAAAAGGAAATGTGACATATATACATACATATATTTTATATATATAGTATATATTTTATAGATGTATAATATATATTTTATATATAATATATATTTATATATGTTATATATGTTTATAATAAACATATTATTTTATTAAAATAAAATTATTTTATAAATATAAAATATTATTCAGCCTTAAAAAAGAAGGAAATCCTGCCATTTGAGACAACATGAATCAACCTCAAGGGTATTATGCTGAGTGAAATAAGCCAGTCAGAGAAAGACAAATGCTACATGGTATCACTTACATGTGGAATTTTTTAAAGGTCAAATTTATAGAAACAGAGTAGAAAAGTGATTGCCAGGGACTGAGAGGTGGGTAGAGGTTGGTAAAAGGGTATAAACTTTCAGCTATAAAATGAATAATGTCTGAAGATCTAATGTAAATAATTGACATTTGCTAAGAGAGCTGAACTTAAATGTTCTCATTAATTAAAAAAAAATAAGTATGTGAGATGATGCATGTGTTAATTAACTAGATGGGAGGGAATCCTTCCATAATGTATACATATATCAACTCCCCACACTGTACACTTTAAATACTTTACAATTTTATATGTAAATTATATGTCAGTTACACCTCTATAAAGCTGAAATTTAAAAAAAGAGAAGGCACAAATAATATTAGAATGAAAAATGATACATAGAATTTTTAAAAAATTATAGTATATAGTTTTATGCCAATGTTTTTTTTAAATGAAAGGAGAATAATTGCCAAAATTAATTCAAGAAAACTTAAGTAGGAAACTTAGAGAAAACAATACCATTAGGTCATTTGAACTGGTAGTCAAAAATATATCTCTGTCTTGGGCGCCTGGGTGGCTCAGTTGGTTAAGCGACTGCCTTCGGCTCAGGTCATGATCCTGGAGTCCCGGGATCGAGTCCCACATCGGGCTCCCTGCTCAGCGGGGAGTCTGCTTCTCCCTCTGACCCTCCCCCATCTTGTGCTCTCTCTCTCTCTCATTCTCACTCTCTCAAAATAAATAATAAATAAATCTTTAAAAAAATATATATATCTCTGTCTTAAACAACACATGTAGACATGTGCCCACATGCCTGCTCACAAAAATTTACCAGAGGAAAAAGGGCCTCAGGCCTTTTATAGGCAAGATTTACCAACTTAAAAGATCAGTGATCCTTATCTTAAACTATTCCATAGAGAAAGAAAAGAAGAAAAGCTCGCCAACTGATTTTATGAAGCTACTACAACTTTGGTACCAAAACAGGATGAAGACAGTGCAAGAAAAGAATATTATGGCTCGATCTCAGGAACATAGAGGCAAACATTCTAAATAAAAGTTAGCAGTATGGGTTTTTTTTTTACCTTCATCATAATGAGGAAGAATGTGAGGAAGTGTCAATATTAGAAAAATTGAACAATTCGCCATGTTAACAGATTAAAAAAGAAAAATCCTATGATCATCTCCGTATGTGTGAAAATTTAAAAATCATGTAAAGCAATTCAATATTAACAATAGGGGGAAAAAAACCTCTGAGCAGAAGAGAAGTATAAGAGGATTTTCTGACCCTGATTATTGCCTTCAGCCAAAACCCCAGAGCCAATATTCTTAGTAGGCAAACTTTAGGATCATTCCATCTTTCCATTAAAAGCAGAGATAGGTCAAGAATGGCTACTACTGCCACCATCGCTGAATATGTCCTCGAGGCCCTAGCACACACAGTAAGACAAAGAATGGGATGGAGGCAAGGACGGAGGGAGAAAGGGGCACCAGACAGGAATGTATGGGACTGCAAATATCAGAAAACCTAACTACCAGTGGCTTAACCAATGAGGAGTTCATTTGTCTCACTCGTAAGAAATCACGAAGTAGGCAGTGTCGGCTGGTAGTACTCATCAAAAGAATCAAAACAGCTCTTTCTGCTTTATCTTCTTTGGATGTTTGATTTCAATCTCATGCTTGCCACCTCCTGGCTCTATGATGGCTCCTGCATATCTGGGCCTTAATGTACACATTTGAGGCAGGAAGAAGGGAAAACAGTGGTTACCAGTCTCTTCCCAGAAGCCCCTGGATGGACTTCCCCTTACATCTCACTGGTCACATGGCTACTGTTAGCTCTAAGAAAGGCTGGGAAAGTGAATGTCTAGGGATAGGGTTAGGTTTAGGGTTAGGGTTAGGATTTGGGACATACTATACTGAATTCTTATATAATAAGTTATGCTTGGTACAATCCATTCATGAAAATTCTTTGGATATTAAATATATTTACTATTTGGGCCATACTTATGCTAAAACATTATTTGTTGTTTATCTAAAAGTAAAATGTAACTGTGTGTCCTCTAAAAATTTTGTTTGCTATATCTGGCATCCCCTGGAGCCGGGCATATTGGAAAAAAATGATGTTTTAAAATTAGCAAGAAAGAAAGGCTATTGGGCAGGTAGATATCAGTAACTACCGTAGAAGCATACAGGGTTGTCCAGAAAGACAAGATTTTTTTTTCCCCTGACATTAACTCTGATTATCATACAGATGTTTCCAGAAGGAAAATTGAGTAGCAAAATATAGGCAGTACCTTATGATACAATTTTGTTGGAGATGCACATTCTTCAAATGCATGTGTCCCACAAAATTTAAGGCTACGTGCAGTTATAATTCAGTGACAGAATTTTTGCAGGTAACTAAGAAAAACTTTAAAAAATTTTTAGATATACCATTAACTGTGGATTACCCATATGAAATTACAGATCTTTTAGATCTTTATCTACCAGATTTCATTAAAATTTTACTAAAATCCTTTCAAAATTATGCCTACTCAAAAACTTGTCAGCTGCTGTTTTGTTTCAACATGAGAACTTAACCATAAATCTCGCTCATCTGCAGGAACCTGATAGTTTAACCAACAGTATACTGAGCCTGCAGACACTAGAAATAACATGGCTTTACGGGTGAATCTGTGGATTTCAAGCAGCTGAAGTGCAGGGTGTGGACTGGCCTTCAGAAGTGGGAGGGCATAGTCCAAGTGAACAACAGGGCAGGAGAGCATAGAGGTCAAGGCAAAACTTGTAGGCCTGAGATGGAGTCTCCATACACTCTAGCCAACTGCCAGGCTCCAGGAAGGGGATGGGCAGGGAGGCTTCCTGGAAGCCAAGAAAACCGAAAACCAGGTCAAACCAGGTTGGTCAGAGGTAACCAACAAATGCCTTTTGTGGAGATGAATTTTAGTGATTAGACTCTGGAATTCCTGCTACTTTTTAAGAAATGGCCAAAGAGATGGCTTGCAGCCAACTTGAGGCAATGTGAAAGAGCCGAGAACTCAAAGTGGGATTCCGAATTGTGTACTGATGTGCTGCATTTGATCAGTATCTGTCCATTCTTTCTAAGATGGCTGTTATAAAGTGTTAAGAAAAGGGGTTGGACTAAGGGAGTTGAAAGAAGCCCCACTCCTTTGATTCAATTTACTATTTAAATAAATTATTTTTGTTTTTGTTTTTGTAAAGAGTAGAGTAAGGATTTTTCACCCCTGAGAATGTCAGACTTGAGCTATTTGTAAAGGGCAGTTGAATTTGCTGCCAGGCAACAGGGGAGAAGCGATTTATCTCCCAAGCATTGATATCCGATAGGCCCACCCACCTATGGACCAGATGTGTTCTCTAAATGTTGTTGCTTTGAGATTTAATTAATTTCAAAAATGATATTTACTGTGTTTTTTTCACTTGTATTATTTCCCCAAACCATTTAAATTCTTCAGAATCATCATTTTTACTGACCACACAATAGAATAGTCCACCATGTGTAGTTATATTAACTTCCCTATTAAATGAACTTGGGAATATGGCTATTTGAAGAGATCTTATAGCAAAATATTTTTTTAAGATTTTACTTATTTATTTGAGAGACAGAACACAAGCAGGGGATGGGGCAGAGGGAGAGGGATAAGCAGACTCTACCCTGAGTGTAGAGCCCCACACGGGACTCGATCCCAGGACCCTGAGATCATGACCTGAGCTAAAGGCAGATGCTTAACCCACTGAGCCACCCAGGCACCCACAAAATGTTTTTATATAACCAATATTACTCTCTAATGTGCCTGCTTTTAAAATGTACTTTTTTGTCTGGGCAGTGTGCACAAAATGACCTTATATTCTGATGGAACAGTTGCCCTCCCATGCTTTTTGCTTTCCTTTTGAAATCAATGATCACAAATGTTTCATCGAATTGATACAGGCAAGACAATAGTGAACAGTGACAGAGCCATTTGACTTTCAAGTGGCAAACCCAATAGTATCCACCTGGTGACTCAGCCTTTTTCTGGAAGAGGTAACAATGCACCACCTCCATCCACAGCCCCTTTCGCTACACTTCAGAAACCACAGCCGATTCCAGTGGAAGCAAAGAAGTTCTCTTCCAAGAAACAAAGATCAAAGGTATTATTGCTCTTTTTTTTTTAAGATTATTTATTTATTTATTTGAGAGAGAGAGCATGAGCAGGGGGCAGGGGTAGAGGGAGAAGCAGACTCCCCACTGAGTAGGGAGCCCGATACTGGGCTCAATCCCAGGACCCTGAGATCATGACCTGAGCCAAAGGCAGATGCTTAACCAACTGAGTCACCCAGGCGCCCCTCATGCTTCTAACAGGAGAAAATTATTTACAATATTCTCAGTGAGATTTTTAGTAATACACACATATTATAGAGTTGTACCTTTCATATGGAAATAAATACTATTTTGGCTGCTGGGATGCATTTGATTTTTAAAGGGGGATTGCTGTACAAGTAGATTCTACCATGACATTATCCACGAGGTCTTAAAAAATTCAATCACGTCACATTATTGTGAGATTAACTAAATGACTGGGCCAACCTATACCACTAACTGGGTCAAGAGTCTAGGAATCTGGAATATGATAGCTATTGCTTTATATCCAAATTCGTGTTGCATAGGGTGTGTTCTTATGCGGTTTTACTCTACTTCATTTGTCTTTAAGCATAGGATAAAAAGCAAGCTCTCCAGGTTTGCACAGATATCCTAATGAGGAAAGGGAAGAAATTCTGTATTCTCTAACATTAGGACCTCATGGTACAACATAATTAATCCTCATGGAGATTTTCCAGGTTTAAATGTGCTGGACTTTTGAAGCTTGCTTTCTTAGGTTTATAAGCCACAGAGTTGTGATAATTGAAACTTTTCGCCGGAAAAAGGAGACAGCTAGCAGTGTCTTTTTCTGGGCTTACCCTATGTGGTCCTATTTACAGCTGCTCCCATTTAAAAAAAAAAAAAAAAAAGCAAGGAAGAAAGAGAAATGGAAGAGTAGAAGAAATGAATCCCACTGTCTCTATGTAGTAGACTGATACCTGCTCTTCCCAGACCTTCTTCTCCCAGGACCCTGGGATCATGAACTGAGCGAAGGCAGATGCTTAAGGACTGAGCCCCCCAGGCGCCCCCCCAGACCTTCTTAACGCCCAAATCTTCCTCGAGATGCTTTCCCTGTATTTGCAGCACTGGTGGGCTGTGTCCCCGTAAGAGAGTTCCAAGCTGTTTATGTAGCAGCGTGTCATGTGACACCCCAGTTGCCATGGCAAATATTTGTGTTTCATGAAAAATGTGGGTAAAAAAAAAAATCAATGTAAATGGCCAAATCCCTAGACAGACAGGCCTTCGAGCTAGTGTTTGGCCTGCACCACGATTGTTTCAAATTCGGCTGTTTAACAGGCTGTGCGAAGGCCACGGGCTAATGTGCATAATGGGAACAGGCGGGGGCACCTGTTTTGCTTCTCACCACGTTTGAGCTCTCCAGTCCCACAGTGTTATAGACAACAGATCTACAGGTAATTCAAACATGACTAGGTTTTCTGCGCTAATCAATCTATCACAGAAAAAAAATTATTTTAATAAAGACACTTCTGGAGGGCTAATGAACACTGCCTTTAATTTCCTCTCTGTTGACTTCACAAAGCTTTCCCCTAGTGCTGAGGCAGTAATATTTAAAAAGACTCTTTCCTGTGGTCCCGAACTGGTACATTTCTGAATTGACTCTTCAATGGTAAATGTGATTATTCATACGCTCTGTGAAGTGTCCTAGCGTGGAAATGAAAAGGCTCACGGAAACACTGATAGAGCTAGAACAGACCTAGATCAGCATCCACCGGGCGGTGTGGTGCCACACGGAGAAACCCTTTCTTGGAAATACTTCTTTCGGTGTACCCTAGATACAGGACTTGGCGTCTGACTATAGCTGTTTTGGTAAATATTTACTTTGTCAAACTCTCTCTTCAAATCAAACAGGGCTCTTGGCAAGCAAGGCAGCGTTGTCTGGGGTGGAAAAGGTCTTTCTAATTATTAGCTCCTGCCTGCATGGAAAGAAGGAACAGGCTGGCCCAGCGGGGGGACCTGGGGGAGGGAGGTGGGGGAGGGAGGCTCTGTGCTTCTATTTGTTTTGTAAAATTGCCCATGAGAGTCATTTTGATTTAAACTGTGTCTCATTCTTCATTGTAGGGGAAAGGCAAAAGGTCAAGAAGTCATCATGATAGGAAGGTCTGTAATTTGTGTGACTAGTTGAAATTTGGGGTTTGTCACCTGATGTCCCTTCCTTTTGCTTCAGGGCAAAAGTATGAGAGGCCGGTTGACAGCTGGAGACTGCCACAAAACTTCTTCTGCTCTTCTTTTATAAAAGAAATTAGATCATGTCTTCAGAAAAAAAATGGTTCATTTAAAGTGAAAAACATTCCCTACCCCCCTTCAGTTAGGACTGAATTACTTCTCAGGCTTCAATCCAGAGAAGTGATTTAGCATACTCAAAATCTGGCTGAATCACAATGGTCTTCAACCTCAATCTATGATTCACATCTTTTAAAAGTCCACTTGAAAATAAATAAAATGTGAAAAAAAATTCACTTGGTCCCCAGCATGGGCATACGTGTGTGTACGTGTGCGTTCATACACACGTGCACATGCATACACACTGCATATATGACGTCATTGGTAAGGGGATGGGGACTTAGAACTAAGCCGCCTAAAACCAATAAGGTAACAAACATGTTGGGGGAATGAAATCGTTCCCACTGACAAGTACGTGCCAGCAAAGAACCTTCCACTGGGTCATGCATGAGTCAGCAAAGTTCTGAACTTGAAGCAGGAAAGAGCTGGATTCTTCTCACACTAATAGAGGAATTTTGAGCAAGTCACTTAAATTCTGAGTGCCCCCCTTTCCTCCTCTGTCAAATGGGGTAATAACTCTCATAGATTTGTTCTATTAGCGCTGTTAATGTGTGTGCAAATGCTTTGGAATTATAAAGCACTTGTTATCAGAATTCACTGGCCTGTTTTTTTAAAAAGATTTTATTTATTTATTTGACAGAGACACAGCGAAAGAGGGAACACAAGCAGGGGGAGTGGGAGAGGGAGAAGCAGGCTTCCCGCAGAGCAGGGAGGCTCCATCCCAGGACCCTGGGACCATGACCTGAGCCGAAGGCAGATGCTTAACGACTGAGCCACCCAGGCGCCCCTCACTGGCCTATTTTTAAAAAACATCTTCTAGGCCCCCCTTCCTTCGAGGGTCTTATCAGAAAGAATTTCAGAGGGAGCTTAGCCGCCCCTTTCCAAGGAAAAAGAGCCCATCTTCTGGGTCTCCTTGCACTTCTGCAGAGCTGTGACTAGACAGAGCTGTGCTTACAGCAATGATCGCATACAGTCCTTCTGAACTGAGACAGATTGCTCTTGGATAAACTCATCAATGCGATCAGAACCTTCCTTCAGCTTCCCTTGACTTCTTGCTACGGGGAAATTGTGAGCTTGCTTCTACACTTTAAAAATAGGATGTGCTTTAAGAACACTAGGCATGATGTATCAGGAATATTTAGAACGGTAAAAGTTGGTTGAGCATGTTCTTAGAACATGGCACTAGGCACCTTCCACACCCACTGAATGCTCACAGCAGCTCTAGAACCTCTGTACTGTCATTGTCCCCAGGCCCACATAGTTGGTGAAAGGGTGTGGAGGATCCAGATGACAGAATGAGGCTCCAGAGTCCACCCTCCTACACACAAGGTTATGAACTCTTCCACAGGTGCTAGTTTTCCAAATGTTACCACTACTATGATGATAACTACTACTAACTACCCCAACCACTTCCACTACTACTCCTAACTAGCACCTTACACACATCACGTGCTTACTCTGTGCCCACCACTGTTCCTATGCTTTCCATGGATTAGCTCACCTCATCTGACAACATCTCTGAGCAATAGGTACTATTATTATTCCCATTTTCCTGGAAGGAACCAATTACGGAGACGTTAAGGTCATGCACCTAGTAAGTGACAGAGCCAGCATACAGAACTGGGCCATGTGGCTGCCAGAGCCCCAAAGCATTAGAGAGTTTAAACTTTCAATCGCTTTTGGTAGAAATCTTTCTAAAAGATCCCATATCTCTACCTCCCTGATGTAATCTAACATTTTCTCTCCCCAGGATCATGTATGCAGAGAACCCATTTCTAGTCCTTTTTCATTTGTTTCCTTCATGTTCAGGACAGTGCTTGTCACCTCGGCTGTCATGTCTGCTTTCAGTGGCCCTGACTTTAAGAGACTGTTCTGTCTTCTAGCTCATTAACCAAATAACCAAGACTCAAGAAGTGGAAGGATAAAGTGGAGTCAGTCAGGCTCTGCACAAGGATCCAAGGAATATAAGACAATACACAGTGGTAGGGTTCATAGTTCTTTCAAGAAATCTAAGGCCTGTGTTTTCAGGGCTCTAATTCACCTGGTTAAAGTTGCTAAAATTGTCTCTCTCAGCAAATATATCTTTTTATTTTCTCAAGGCAGACATGTTAACAACTATGTTAAGATCCACTTGACTTGGGTGCCTGGGTGGCTCAGTTGGTTAAGCAACTGCCTTCGGCTCAGGTCATGATCCTGGAGTCCCAGGATCGAGTCCCGCAACGGGCTCCCTGCTCAGAGGGGTGTCTGCTTCTCCCTTGACCCTCCCCCCCATATGCGCTCTCTCTCAAATAAATAAATAAAATCTTAAAAAAAGATCCACTTAATTTCAATTAATATTTTGATAATAAAAAATCTCTTTTATGGGTAAAACAAACAAACAAACAAATATATTTACTGGACGTAAGGTAAATTCATGAGTGTGTTCTACTTCTGGAAATGGGGGAGGGAGAAGAAAGAGCTAAAAAGAATTAGAGGATTTCAATTCTACCTTATGTGTTGTTTTTTTAAATTTCAACACATATATAAATAATTTAAATATATCTAAATCTTATAAATAATTATAAATATATAAAATATACTATATTTTTAAATGTAAAAGATTTAAATATATATTTTTGTCTCCTTTGCTTCAGAGAGATATATATATCATATATACATTATATATATTCTGTATTATCTAATGTTATCTAATTCATCCTCGTGTAGATTCCTCCGGTTTAAACTACTGGGCTTTGGTAGCTTGCTTTCTTACATTTATGAGCCACAGACAGATATATATAATATACATATATACATATAAACATGTAATATATATATAATATACATAAAGCAAAGAAGACAAAAGATTAACATGCGCCCATGGTAGTTTTTTTATATTATTCTTCTATACTTTTCTGTATTTTCAAAACTTTTCCAATTAAAGAAGAAACAAAAGAAAATCCTATTTCGAAAGACATACCTCTTGCCGTAAAATCTTCTTTGCTATAGAAAGAACAGGTTTGGGTGACAACCTTTTAATGTCAATTTTGGGGTCTTGCTTTTCTTAGTCATTCTAACACTGTTACTTTCTTTAGTATTTCCCCAGCGTATTACTCTTGATCCTTATGTTATAAAATCGTGATTATTTTATACAGTTGAGTCAGTTGAACTATTTTAATGAGGCAACATATGTGACAGTGACACCACCCCTGTCCACTCTCATTTCCCCCCTTCTGTAGACCAGCTCGGTTTTTTACAAAACTTCCATAACGCCTCCAATGCTCACCCCAAGACCCCCAGGAAAAGGAAAAAAGTGGAAGTTCCCAGTAGGTGGGGCTCTAGACCCCTCAAACCCGCAGCAGCCGTGGTAACTGTGCCCCTCTTTACCATCAGATTGTATTGTTTCTGAACAGTGTTCCAGGTTTGAAAGTATATACTTTGAAAACCACCAGGTGGTATCTAGCAGCAGTTTTAGCTTTCATGTGACCTATCTACTAAAGGGAATAAGCCCACTGCTTTATGTTTATTGAAGTGTAATTAACATTACATTAGTTTCAGGTCTACAATAGAATGATTCAACAATGCTATACATTACTCAGCGCTCATCACAAGTGTACCCTTAATCCCCTTCACCTGTTTCACCCAACTCCCCCCTCCCCCGACACCTCCCCTCTGGCAACCACAAGTTTGTTCTCTGTGTTTAAGAATCTGTTTTTTTGTTTGTCTCTTTTTTTCTTTGTTCATTTGCTTCTTAAATTCCAAATACAAATGAAATCATGTGGTACTGGTTTTCCTCTGACTGACTTATTTCACTTAGCATTATACCCTCTAGAGCAAGACCCCATTGTTGCAAATGGCAAGATTGCATTCTTTTTGATGGCTGCATAATATTCCATTGTGTATATACACCACTTCTTCTTTATCCATTCATCTGTGGATGGACACTTGGGCACCTGCCATTATTTTGACTATTGTAAATAATGTTGCTATAAACATAGGGGGGCATGTATCTTTCCAAGTTGTGGTTTGGGGTTTTTTGGGTAAATACCCAGTAGTGGAATTGCAGGATAATGTGGTAATTACGTTTTTAAATTTTTTTGAGGAAATTCCATACTGCTTACCATTGTGGCTGCACAGTCTGCATTCCCACCAGCAGTGCAAGAGGGTTCCTTTTTCTCCAAATCCTCACCAACAATTGTTATTTCTTGTATTTTTAATTTTAGCCATTCTGACAGGTGTGAGGTGATATCTCATTGCAGCTCTTAGGTGCACTTCCCTGATGATTAGTGATGTTGAGCATTGTTTCATGTGTCTGTTGGCCATCTGTATGTCTTCTGGAAGAAAACATAGGCAGTAATTTCTTTGACACCAGCCATAGAGACATTTTTCTAGATATATGTCTCCTCTGGCAAGGGAAGCAGAACCAAAATTAAACCATTGTGACTACACAAAAATAAAAAGCTTTTGCACAGCAAAGAAAACCATCAACAAAACAAAAAGGCAACCTATTGAAGGGAGAAGATATTTGTGAATGACCTATCCGATAGGGGGCTAGTATGCAAAATATATAAAGAACTTATACAACTAACATCAAAAAAACAAATAATCCAATTTAAAAAATGGGCAGAGGACATGAATAGACACTTTTCCAAATCAGCCTACCTCTTGAAGAGCAGAGAATGCCTCCCTGGTGGGCTTTGTGCCCAGCACAACGCAGTCTCCCTTCTTGTCCTGTCCTAAAGGGTCACAGAGAGGGCAGGTGGTACTTTGGCAAGAATTTGAGTTCTACACCCTGAAGATACAAGACGAGATTCAGAAGGAAGTCTAGGGCTGTTCTT